GTTGCTTGAATATAGATTGCTGTGGACTTTATAAAAATCACCAGGTGGCCCAATTGATAGCGATCTCTTTTTTGCGTTATGTATGAGATACATGGCATGGTTTAGTTTTTAATTCCGCGCTTTGAAGAAAAATGATCTAATTTTCCCGCTCTTATTGTCTCGATGTCAAGAACTTTCCAAAAGAATTCTCTCTGCCTCTTCGTCAGAAATCGTCTCTACTAATTGATTATCTGTTGTGTATTTTTTCCCGCAAAATCGATTAAACATGGCAATGAGAATAAGCGCTACTGCTAGGAAAACAAACAGATGCCAAGCGAAAGCCACGGTCAGAAATTCCACATTACTTGGTGTGTTTTTCCACGGATTTGGACCGTAGAGAACAAAAGCAATTTGTAGAAACCAGGTCCCTTGGAGGCCTAACAAAATAGCCCTCATTAAGGCAAACAGCGATTGTTGTCTCGTTAAAAAGACATCAACTAGGAACGCTGCGGCGGTGACAAATATTATGATGTAGAGAATCGTGTGTAAACGAACGCTGATTTCCGAATGGCCGTGAAGATGGAAGTAGAACAGAAATCCTTCGACCCAAAAACACGCTGAAAAGATCAAATAATCACACTTTGGCAGTAACGGCATTACGTTGTACCACATCATAAGATCAACTACGCCAGATAATCCGAAGAAACAGTACATGGCTGTATGACTGTGATTGTTTAGGTTCTCGGCTACGAATTCTCCATCTTTGTTGATCAAAGTCCACGCCTTACTCAAGACGAGCTCTCCAAGAACACCCATAATTGCTAAAACGACCTTCACGAAGGGTTCTATGGGGATTTTCGAAAGCGTTTTCCCGGGACACTGGAACCAAACGGGCGCGTACGCGTGTGATTTTAATCTTGCTTTCACTGGACCGTTCGAGTGATACGGGCCTCTTGTGTCTCTGATGCGGTGTTGTGTTCGGATCAGAGTACCCAAGAACCACCAAAGCGATAACGAAAGAAACATAGCACCGGGCACCGCGTGACCAAGAAAATCTCCCATTATTTTGAAAACATATACGCCAGTGGGTCTTATGAGTGAAGGGCGACCTCACCTTGCCTGTCACAACTTATTTATATCTATCGACCAATGCCCAGGACAACAACTATTTAGCATTGATATTTTCAACTACAATCAGCTGTGGCTATTTAAATGTCTCGAACCTAATGTTTTATTCGCTGACTCAAGGTCGACGGAAAAATATTATTCAAACGTAAATTATAGACAATTACACGTTATCTCCCTTTTGATTGGTCCAAAACTGCACATGCCATTTCCCGTTATTTTC